TTCCTCCTCCTCCTCCTCCTCCTCCTCCTCCTCCTCCTCCTCCTCCTCCTCCTCCTCCCCCCCCCCCCTTACATGATCGGCGTTGAGCCCGGGGCGGAAGTGAGAGGGGGCAGACCCTCTCAGAAGGCGGCGGGGTTCTCAGAAGCCATCTGGCATCGTGGCACAAGTTCCCCCCTACGTCTTCTCGGGGGCCCCCAAACGGGTCGGTGACCACACCGTGCGGTGAGTCGGTGGGGATTCGGGGTCACCGCACGGTTTTTGGGATTCGAGGCCCTCCCCGAGGATGTCTCGGGCGACAGGGACCTTTGGGGTCCCAAAACCGTGCGGTGACGGACCGTGCGGTGAGGTCTCTTGGGGTTCCGAGGTCACCGCACGGTCTGTCACCGCACCGTTTCGGGACTCCAAATCTTCGGAGAAGGCTAAGACAATTTCTCATAAGGCTCAGACTATTTCTCAGAGGCCCTCTGAGCCTTCTCAGAAGGGTCTCACTCTCTGTTCGGAGGGTGCGAAGTCCCTGCGGAGTAAGATCGTGCGGTTTTCTCTGTCTCCGTCCTGGCTTTTTCCCGTCCTGACCTAGCCTCCCCCGATCGGATGCGAAGTCCGTGCGGAGTAAGTCCGCACGGAGTGCCCGGTCTCCGTCTAGTTTCTTTCTTCTGTTAAGACTTAGATCCTTCTGATCTTCAGTCACGCGCAGAGGGGGTAGGGGGGAGGGTGAGGGCCTCTTAGAAGCACCCTGCTTCTTGAAAGGCGCGGGCCTCTTCTATTTGGCGCCTCCTAAGAAGCAGCCTCCCTCCTGAGAAGCCTTCGCCCCTCCCCCGACCCCTTTTGGCATGGCGCCAACATCGCAGAGCGGACTTCGTTCGGAAACTAGTGGGATGGACCCAGATTGTCCTGGAGAATTTAGTTCCAGATTTCGCAGTGAATGTCGTTCGGATTTTTTGGGCCCGGGACGCAGGCTACAACACATTCACGCGACATCCATTCCGTTTCTCCCTCGCCGCTTCGGGGGCTCCTCCCTCGACAGGCACCCACGCAGCAACACGCTGCAGCACGGCTGCAAGGTCGGTGCAGTGACCCTCGGGCGCGCCGCCGAGGAGGAGGAGGAGGAGGAGGAGATGCTGAGTGATGTAGTGAGGAGGAGGCTGAGGAGGAGGGAGGAGGAGGAGGAGGAGAAGGAGAGATAGGAGGAGATAAGGAGGAAGGGCAGGAGTGAGGAGGCGGTATGAGGGACTGCTTAAGTGAGTCTTCTGATGGTGAGATGGTTGATGTGGCTGCGGGTGCTGATGCGGAGATGGCTGATGGTGCGGAATGAGTGCTTTATGGGTGGCTATTGTAGTGTCCTGGCGCGGGTTTTCATGTGGCTGCTGCTTGGGGTGGAGGAGCTGAGTCGGCCTTCGTGTCAGTGAGGAGGAGGAGGAGTAAGAAGGAGGGTTGGAGGCGAGGCTGTGTTCCACGCCTGCGCTCCGATAGGAGGGCAAGGAGGTGGTCCTCCTCCCCACGGGCTCGCCGCCGCCGCGAGGAGGCAGTCCTGCGCGGGCCCAGCTCTGGCAGGGAGGCGCTGCCCTGGCCTGCCGCCACCAGCCCATCGGCTGGAGGGTTGCTGCGAAGGGCTTCGGCGATACCTCCTCCTCCCTCCTTTTCCTTCCCCTCCTCATCTCTCCTCCTCTCCTCCTCCTCCTCCTGCTTCCCTCCTTCCTCCTCCTGCTCCTCCTCTCTCCTCGTCCCCTCCTCCCTCCTCCTCCTCCTCCTCCTCCTCCTCCTCCTCCTCCTCCTCCTCCTCCTCCTCCTAGCCGTTCTGGCCCAAGTTTTTGGGCTTGCAGGAGCTGTCTTCAGAGCGGCAGCCGCTCCTGCGGGTCTTTGTGGCTCGGAATCTACTTTGTGAGCTCCTGCTGGAGCAAGCTTTCCTGAGACAAGCTGTGCTGTGCATGGCTCGACGTGATGAGGCGGATGTACTCCCAGGGCCCCGATCGCCCTTCTGGGGGTGTCCAAGTTGTGGCAGGAACCAGAATTTCGCTTGTCGGATACGGTGTCTCTGCGGGCAGTCAGCCCCGAGGGCGAGTGTGGAGCGCGCGCGCACCGCAGCTGCCTCCCTGGGCTCATCAGCTCGTGCTCCTCCTGGCGTTCCTCCTGG